ATAAAAATTTCGTCATCTTTTGTTCAGTATTTGAGGAGAAACAGAGCCCAAAAGTTGAAAAAATGTAATTCCGTCACGCGCGTTTAAGCCGAATGGGAAAATACCTAGTTGTAGAAGCGCAGCGTATGAAAGGTCGGCAGATCGAATCTAGGAGGAGAACTTCAAAAATTGTTCTAATAAAAACTCTCCTACAAACAGTATTCTCTTTGTTTTCAAAAATCAAGATAATATCTTTTTATATTCGACATCCTACGAAACCACGTTTTTAAAAAACCCTATAAAGTTCGAATGTCGACAAGGTCAATTTCAGTCTTATTTTTATGTATTAGAACAAAATATGACTTCAACAAGAATAATTGTAAAAAATATCTTGTTTGATAAAAAAGAAACTAGAAACAAATTATTGAGTATAAATACGAATACGAAAGTCACTTGTTCTCTGATAACTCATACGTTTAAATGTCAAATGTTGCTTTTGGATTTCTTCAATATTTCCAAAAAGTATTTGAGAACCTTTTGTACAATCGTAAACTAAAATATTACACCAAAATTTCTGTAAATTATTTAATTTTGATGAAATCGATTTCCAGCAATCAATATTTAAATATTTCGAATCATGAGTACCTTGTGATAATGAAAAATGAATTAAATTTGGTGTTATCGATAATAAATCTTCTAATTGATCAAAATTTATCGTTGTTGGAAAACTAAGAATTAATCTCAAATTAATTAATTTAATAAGTATTTTCGGTGTTGTTATTGCTATAAATACTGATTGATATTCATCTATTCCAACTTTTAAAGATTTTAAGTTTGTTAAATTTTGTATTAAAAAATAAAATGTTTTTGTTTTACAATAATTAAGTTTTAAACATTCTAAATGACACGATGATAATTTGGATTTTATTTCTGATAAATATTCACAACGGACATAATGCAACCAGCATTTTTTTAAGGTTAAAAATTCATTATTAAATATTCTACGACATAGTTGTCGATATTCATTTGGATCTCTTATAGAATAATCTGGATGATGAATTGATAATGATTGTAAATGAGGAAATGTTTGACATCATCTATCTAGGACCTAGGGGAAAAAATTACATTTTAACCTCCCATCACTTGTTTAAATTTTTATCCATATAGCCAAAATGACATCGTGAGAAGGGTAAAAGTAAAGCTTTAAAGTATAAAAATCACATTGCCTATATAAAAAAAGGGTTATCACAAAGTTTTGGTTCACCCCTGAAGATGTTAATTTTGGAATAATTACAAGTGGCACCACCATAATGGCGTAACTTGTAATTACTTTTCGCGTAAATTACATCAGGGGTTAACCAAAACTTTGGGATAACCCTTTTTTTATATAGACAACCTGATTTTTATACGTTAAAGCTTTACTTTTACCCTTCTCACGATGTCATTTTGGCCATATGCTTTCTTCTCCGAACATGAAAGTGAAGTTTCGAGGTTGTTCTCCCACAATATCTATTCAGAAAGCATCAGTACGGGGTGGAAACTTGAAGATATGAGTAACTTTGTCCACTAAACGTGGTTATATGATTGAAAAAGTTGAAAAACCAAAGATTTTTTACACATTCTTCAGGAAAACCATTGGATTTTGTAAACTTTCTACCTAGATTTCTTATAAATGCGATATGAAATGAAGCCTAGATGCTCTACATTCTGCCGTTTCCATCGCGTTCTAATGCTTTCTAAGCAAATTGTTAATTTTTTTCATATTAGGTGAAAACAACTTCGAAACATCAATTTTTGCAAAAAGTCGGTTCTCCCGAGATTTTTGAATTATTTTCCTAATCAAACATTGCCACGAGGGGTAGCGTAGTTAATAACCTGTATTCCATACAAATTCAAGGCTACCCGAAGTCGGATCAGTCCTGCTTCTTGCCTGAATCACCGAAAACCACGGTCTCGTTTGACTCCCATTTTGAATTGGGTCCACGAACTATCTACCCGCGTAAGAAACCAAAATATTAGTACGTGTACTCTCCGTTTCAAAATGGTTGGCACTCGGT